CTATAAACTTTTAGCTAAATACATTTAAAGTAAACATCTCAAGCCAATTAATGTCAGTTTAGGGAGCTTACCAAACTTGAATTTTTTTACTGAATTTTTTAATGTGGTGGGCAAGTTAACGACACCTTAGCACAAGATTCGAAAACAGTCACGCTAGTTCCATGGGTGAGAAAGTAGATAAGGGGAAAAAAGAAATGAGCTCAGAAATCCAAGCTTCTATCATCCAGATGCAACATTCTTTTGGGGATTTGAGAGCTAGCTCTTCTAGTACTGCAATTCCTCCTGGTGCTCGTTGGATTGATGTGATTGAAAAAGAGAAGGAGGATTTTCAACCATTTCTTAAGCACAAGCCATTGCGTACCTGGGCTTTTGTCGTTGAAGGTAATAGAGACATCAGGAAGGGATGGGATTTATAGTATGTGAAACCTTAGGGTCCAACTCGTGCTATGGTTATTACTGAAGATGAATGGGTTAAAGGGTCTAAAATATGGGAGAATGCTTTTGTTGGGTATGTTATGGGTCTTAAACCTACTTTTAAGGATATGGCTAATTTTGTGAACAATAGGTGGAGGGAATTCCAGGTGCCAAAGGTGTTTATGTTGAGAAATGGAGTTTTCTTGTATGATTTTGCTGAAGCAAATGCAAAGTAGGCAGTGTTGGAGAAGCGGTGGACGTTCAATGGAAAACCCTTAATTCTAAAACAGTGGACTCCGAATTTTGACCCGGACAACTTGGATATTAGTAAGATTCTTGTCTAGATTCAATTTCCTAACCTCCATTTGAGTCTTTGGAATCTTGAGAGTTTAGGAAAGCTGGCAAGTTATGTGGGAATTCCTATTGCTACTGATGCTTTGACAACTAAAAGGCAAAGAGTGGCTTATGCTCGTATGCTAGTGGAGACAGAAATAAAGGACACTCTACCTCGTGTAGTGCCTATTATTGGTCCTAAGGGTATGTTTCAACAACCTGTGGTTTTTTAGTGGTAGCTCGTGAGATGTGGGAAATGTAGGAGTCTTGGGCATGAAAAGAGGAACTGTAATGCTAAGGCAAAAGAAGGTGTGGGTTCCTAAAAAAGCTATAATGGAGCAGGTGGTCAAGCAGGAGAATGACAAATTATAAAGAGGTGAAGTGCAAATTGTTGCTAATTCATCAATTGTGAAGCAAAGTAAATTTAGACATGCTGCTGGTAAGATGATAGTAGAAAGCAACGAGCAATGTCTAGTACAACCAAAAGTGGGAGTTCTAAGACAAGGGAATTTGCTGACTAAGATTGGTACTAGCACTAGTGATAAAGGAACGATGCAAAATGCAACAGGTGGAACATCTTCTGTAAGTGAAGTTCTATCATGATATATCTTTCTACATGGAATGTGAGGGGTTTGAATGACCCTATAAGACAAGTAGATGTTAAGAAGTTTATGCTTTCAAATAAAATTCAGTTTATTACTTTATTAGAAACCAGAGTAAAGAAACAGAATAATAGTAGAGTTATGCAAACGTTTGGTAGTCAATGGGGATGGTTGAATAATTATAATTCTCATTATAATGGTAGAATATGGATCTTATGGAATAAAGTAGAATTGAAGGTGTCTGAAGCACCGCAAACGGACCAATTGATGCATGTTGAAGTGTGCCCTGCAGTTGGAGATGTTAAATTTTTATGTTATATTATGCATGCTTTTAACTCATTTGATGGTAGAGTTGCATTATGGGAATAGTTTAAAGCTTTAGATGTTGCTAATGTGCCATGGATAATTTCTGGGGACTTTAATACAACATTGCATTATGGTGAAAGGGTGAAGCTTAGTGAAGTTGTCTGGGGAAATACTTCTGAGCTTTAGCAATTTGTGAGCAGAATGGAGGTTTTTAACTTGCAATTTTCTGGCGCTTTTTTCACTTGGTGTAATAAGCAAGGGGAAAATGACAGGTTGTGGTGCAAGCTAGACAGGGTAATGGCTAATTCAACATGGGTTAGTGCATTTCCTAATACTTCAGTGGTCTTTTTAAACCCACAATCCTCTGATCACTCACATTCTTTAGTTACAATGGATTTATTGATGAATGATGAGCCAAAACCATTTAGGTTCTACAATGCCTGGTTTAAGGATGAAAGATTTCTAGGCTTGGTTAGTGAAGTGTCAAGTTCATACATTCAAGGATGTCCTATGTTTGTTGTAGTGCAGAAATTGATATTGGTAAAGCAAAAACTAATGCAATTGCATAAAAATAGATATGGAAACTTGGAGGGAAGACACGACTACTAAGCTACAAAATGTTCAAGCTTGTATGCAGAATGCCTTATTTGATGAGACCTTGGCTTTAACAGAAAGGGAACTCCAGCGTGAATTAACTAAGCTTGAGCGAGCTAATCTTTCTTCAATTGCCCAGTGAGCTAAGGTAACTTGGTTAAAGGAGATGAATTCAAATTTTGCTTATTTTCATGCTAAAGTTAAGGAAAGGCAGCATAAAAGTGTTATTAGTTTCGTCATAAATTGTGAAGGTGTCAGAGTAACTCAACCAGAGCTTATAGAACAAGAGTTTGTAATGTACTACCAAAACTTGTTTGGAAAGGCCAAAGAAGGTATTCAAGCAACAGATATAAATGTTATTCGCCAAGGCAGAGTGTTAACTACTGAAAAGTCTGAAGAGTTATGCAGGCCATTCACTATTGGGGATGTGGAGACTACCTTATTTTCAATTCCTTCTAACAAGTCACCGAGGCCATATGGATTTACTTCAGGATTTTATAAAGCAGCTTAGTCAATAATTAAAAATGATGTCATTGCTATTGTGCTGGATTTCTTTGATAGTGGGAAGCTCCTCAAGCAAATTAATGCCACCAATATTACTATTGTTCCAAAGGTAAGTTGCCCAAATTCTGTCAGTGATTGTAGGCCTATAGCTTGCTGCAATGTAATTTACAACTTAAAGGATTAATGAAGTGTTGAGCATGTTGGTTAGTTGTAATCAAACTGCATTTGTGAAGGGTAGATCTATAACGACTAACTTATGGATTTGCCAAGACCTAGTGAGGAATTACCATAGAAATGGGGGGCTTGCTAGATGTTTATTGAAGATTGATTTACAAAAACCATTTGATTCAATGGATTAGGAGCTTGTTGAGGCAATTTTAAGGGAGCTAAATTTCCCTGAAAGATTTGTTCACTAGATTATGCTTTCTATCTCTACTGCTAAATTTTCTATCTTGATAAATGGATAGCCAAAGGGTTATTTTCTAGGGCAAAAAGGACTTCGACAGGGTGATCTAGTGTCGCCTTATCTATTTGTGCTAGTAATGGACTAACTTATTAGGAAATTGAATGAGCTAGATATGTAGGAGAAGTTTAAGTATCATAGTAAGTGCCAAACTAGGCAACTTACCCACTTGATCTTTGTAGATGACATAATGTTTTTTTTGTAAAGCTGATGAGGAGTCCACTGTTTTGATGATACAAATGTTTGAAGAATTTTCCCGAGTCTTTGGCTTGGAAGTGAATAGAATGAAGAATCAGATTTTCTTTAACAGAGTTAATGAAGGGCAGAAATTTGCTTTAATTCAAAAGCTAGGTTTTGTTGAGGGATAGCTTCCAGTTAGATATTTGGGGTTGCCTTTGGTTTCCAAAAAGCTTTCTCCTGGGGCATGTCAACCTGTTATTGATAGGATTAATAAAAAAATTAGCTCCTAGGGAACGAAATTTCTATCATATGCAGGTAGAGTGCAATTAGTTAACTCTATATTATTTCACATTCAAGTTTTTTGAAGTGGTGCTTTATTGATTCCTAAGAAAGTGTTAAAGCTAATTGATGCTACTTGTAGAAACTTTATTTGGTGTGGTAAATGGGATTATAATGCTATGTCCCTTGTAGCATGGGATGATGTATGTGTGCCAAAGAAAGAATGGGAACTAGGGGCCAAGCAATTGCTACACTAGAATAAGGCAGCATTAGGAAAATTAGTCTGGAATATATGCCAGCAACAAGAGTCGTTATGGGTTAGGTGGGCATAGGTAGTACTTTTGAGAGGAGAAAATTTTTGGAAGGCCCAAATCCCTATAGATTGTGCTTGGACTTGGAGGCAGGTGTTAAAGCTTTGTACTTTGCTAAAAAATGCCATTTGGACGCAAGTGGGGGATGGACGATAGGTTTCTTTGTTCTATGATTGGTGGGCAGGTGAGGTAAGGTTTTGTGAGTTACTCTCTAAGGATGAAATTGTTGTTTGGGGCAATGGCCTTATAGTTAGTTAGTGGTGGGATGGGTTGGATTGGGCTAGTCCGAATAGTTTTGTGAAAAGGCATCCCATGCTTGTCCAGATTATCAGGTGTCAAAAACTGTCTCAACAAGCTGACAAAGTTGTGTGAAAACCTGCAAAGAATGGTTTGTTTACTATTTTGAGTTGTTATGAATTTTTAAGAGTGAAACGCCCTAGGGTGGAATGGCATAATATGGTCTGGGCAAGGTGCATTTTCCTGCGACATAGTTTCATTTTTTGGATGGTGTTGCAAGGTAGGCTAAAGACTAGAGTTCTGCTAACAAATAGAGGTATAAGAATTGAGAAAGACTGCTATTTGTGCTGTAGATATGAGGAAACTTGTGAGCACTTGTTCTTTGAATGTTGTTTTGCAAAAGAAGTGTGGAGGTTAGTTTTGAACATTTTGAATATCCAGAGACAACCAAAAAGATGGAGTGTTGAATGGCTTTGGCTAAGGAAGGCATGTGAAGGTCGTTCTACGCAGCCACAGAAGTTGAAGACTACTTTAGCTGCCACTTTATCCATGATTTGGCAAGAAAGGAATAGGAGAATTTTTCTTAGAAAGTTTTTGATTGAAAGGTATGTATATAATGAGATAATTGGTTTTTTTAGATTAAAGTTTTGAGGAGTGTAATTTCCCGGGTATGCCTGGGAGCAAAATGTATATGTCATTTAATGTTTAGTGGAAAAACTTGCGTTTTCCAAAAAAAATCAAAGTTTATAAAAAGCACAAATTTCAAACTTTTCAAAATTTACTGTTTAAGGTCTTTTTAAGATTAAAAAGAAGTTAAAAAATGTAAGTTTAAAAATGTAAGTTTTTAAGAGGAAAATTTAAATTTATGAAACATGAATAGTGTCAAAAAGCTGAAACTCTTACAAGTTTCACCAAACATACCCTAAGTAACATAATTGCATTATTCACTCTTTATTTAAATGATTTAAAAGTCTATTTTTTTTTAAAAAAATAATGTAGATATACTTTTGAGTTTACACAAACATTTCAAATAAAAATATAAAAATTTTTTTGGGCCAAGAGTTGACTTTTGAAAATGAGAGTCGAATCTTTTTCATTAAGAGTCAACTCTTTACATAGAAAGTCGACAATACCTTGCGTCTAGAATGTTCTCAACTCTTTGGAATTTGGGAGTCGAATCTTGACCTTCTAGAGTCAACTCTGGATGCCTCAAGAGTCGAATATCTCTTCTTAGAGTTAACTCTTTAGTAGATGCACATATTCTCCATATTTCACTCTAGGGTCAAAGTTGTAGTCAAAATTCAAATACTGTCGCATCCCCAAAATATTGCACTTTGATATTACCTTGCACTATCATTGGTCATAGCAACCTATGTTCCAATTTATCACATAACTACAAATGTGTAGTTATATAATTCCTTCTTTACTTAATCATAAGTTAAAAGACAACCATATAATTATCACATTTTGCATGTAATATGACCATTTCCATATTCTAAACCTATAACTCGTAGGAATTCAGTTAATTTTAGGCCAGACCATTCACTCCCAATTGACATATACACTGCCAAACAAATTAAAATCCTCCATCCAAAAACCTAAAGCGGTTCCATCAAGATGTAAGAATACGACAAGGTTTGAGTCAACATACTCATTCACAATCATCATTCAAGCCCAAACGAACCTGGGTACTCTGCATCAAATCTCGATTGGTAAACATAATCATCTTGTGGGGGATTCATCGAGGATATCTTGGTTGCTTGTGATTGTTCCCCTATATGGCTCATGGGGATTCCAAGTTCCATTTGGGAGCTACAGTGGCATAGCATGAGGAAAAATGATGGCTCAACAGAGGAAATGATTGCCTAGCATGAGGAAATGATGGGCTAGCAATATGGGGCACATCCCATAGGCATTAAAAGTAGCAAATTGTTGTGACAAAGAAGCCTACATCTTGCCCATCTCTTTCATCATGTGTTGTATTGCTTCTTTTTCCTTCTTCATATGGCCTATTTCCTCCCTCATCATTTACACAGCCTCTCAGTCTTGTGCTTGTTTTTTAGCTAGGTTAGATAACATCAAACTTATATATGAATTCGTTATTGGCTGTAGTTTTTTATAAGTAAACCCAAGATCCTCTAGGTTGACTTGCGAACCAATTCCAAGTATGAAATTGCTATGGCATCCCTCAACAGCAATTGCTTATGTGTCGTTGTCCCTTGGC